CAGGAGTTGGAGGTTGCTATGAGCTGTGATGCCATGGCACTCTACCCAGGAGGACAGCTTGAGGCTCTGTCTCAAAAAAAAAAAAAAAAAAAAAATTCTTCAGGCTGGGTGTAGTGGCTCACGCCTATAATCCTAGCACTCTGGAAGGCCCAGGCAAGAGGATCTTCTGAGTTCATGATTTTGAGACCAGCTTGAGCAAGAGCACAGCCTGAGCAAGAGCAAGAACCCCGTTTCTACTAAAACCTAGAATACTAGCCAGGCATTGTGGCAGGAACCCTTAGTCCAGCTACTCGGGAGGCTGAGGCAAAGCAAATTGCTTGAGCCTAAGAGTTTAAGGTTGCTGTGAGCTATGAGGCCCAGGCACTCTACCTAGGACAACAGAGTGAGACTCTGTCTCAAAAAGAAAAGAAACTCTTTGCTTGTGGTTATGAAGAGGTCGACTTAATTTGTTGTATCTTTTTTTGGGCGGTGCCTGTGGCTCAGTGAGTAGGGTGCTGGCCCCATGGGTTCAAACCCTGGCCCCAGCCAAACTGCAACAAAAAAATAGCTGGGTGTTGTGGTGGGCGCCTGTAGTTCCAGCTACTCAGGAGGCTAAGGCAAGAGAATCACCTAAGCCCAAGAGCTGAAGGTTGCTGTGAGCTGTGACGTCATGGCACTCTATCAAGGGTGACAGAGTGAGACTCTGTCTTTAAAAAAAAAAAAAAAAGAGCAACAGTAGTGATGAGCTTTCTTTGACTACAATTAATGAAATATTATATCCTGTGCTTTTTGTTGTTGTTTTTTGTTTTTTAGGGGAATTTACGTTACTGGCTTGAAGAGGCAGAATGCAGAGATCAATACAGTGTCATTTTTGAGAGTGGAGACCGCACTTCCATATTCTGGAATGATGTAAAAGACCCTGTCTCAATTGAAGAAAGAGCGGTGTGTATCTGCTGTCATGGGGGAACTCAGCCTCTACTGTATTTTCTTAACAAAGTGCAACTTTGTTTTCATCAGAAACTGATAAAGAGCAGGCGAAGTTTCATTTTCTTTGAGATTACTTTCTGAGAGCATTTTTTCTTTTGGCTTCAAAATAAGTAATAAGCGAATAGGGTTAGATGTTTGAGTTAAGAGTTTGAGGAATAGATTCATTCTGGTAGAGGTCTTTGCGGTTGGCTTTTGTTGGATTAACATTGGCACTACCTTTTCCTGCAGAGATGGACAGAGACATATGTGCGTTGGTCTCCTAAAGGTACTTACCTAGCTACCTTTCATCAAAGAGGCATTGCTCTTTGGGGCGGAGAGAAATTCAAGCAAATCCAGAGATTCAGCCACCAAGGGGTTCAGCTCATTGATTTCTCACCTTGTGAAAGGTAAGCTGTTGGAAAAATGCAAATGGAGTCTTTATTCACCTTATGCCAGCATTCTACAGATAATTTTTTAAAACTTTCTATTTTGTAATACACAATTTCAAATTTAATGGAAAAATTGCAGGCTGAGCACAAAGAACTCTTGTATACTTTATTTTTGCTATTTCCTAATGAGACTGATACCATATAGTTTTTACTGAGGTTCTCTAGTTAACATTTTGTTGCATTTGCTTTATCATTTCCTCTCTCCAAGTATATATACATAATTTTTTTTCTTGTGCCGTTGGGAGTTAGCCGAAGTAAATGTAAATGTATATTCCTAGGAATGGATTCTCTTAGTATAACCACAGTGCACTTACTAATTTCAAGTACTTTAACATTGATTTAATACTTCTGTTTGAGGTATTATTCTGTTCTAAGTTTATTATTGGTCCTATAATACTTGTATAATATTTATTTTCCTTTGGTTCTGGATCTGGTCCAAGGTCAATTTGCAGATAATTTTTCTTATGAAGGCTTTTTTGTGTCTTGGTCTAGATAGCATAAGTTTACATGAGAAGATGGAGCATGAGGAAAGCTTGGAGATGCCTTTTCCCAGGTGCTGCACCCCTTCCTGTGTGCATGCTGTGTTCCTCTCTGCCCATGCTCGGGGCCAACATGGGCAGAGAGGAACATAGCACGCACACAGTCCTTCCTGGGTTTCTAGCATATTCCATCCAGTCTCAACCCTGTCTGTCTCTTTGCTGTTGTCTGTACTCAACAGCACCTTAGTGTGTGGTCTTACCACATTGCAAGGCTCTTGGCTCCCTTCTGTCCTGTGCTACTCACACTTAAGGTTGTGCCTGCTTTTCTTTAGAACTTTTTACTATATAAATGTTCCCACACAGCGAAATGAAAGCAGTTACTGTGGCTACATCCATGTGCTAATTATCCACAATTATTGAGTTCTTATTTTGTTACATTTGCTTTAAAATTTTTAAAATATTTTCAAGTAAATGGTAAACATCTTTATAAAAGTATGTGCATCACTACAAAATAATGACCTCTTCCTGCGTATTCTCAATTTACCACATCTAACGACATTACTTACATGGTTTGTATTCAGGTTTCATAACTGGTTTGTTCAAACCTAGATGCAATCAAAATCAAAGATACACACTGTGTTTCTTAAGCTTCTTTTGTCTTATTTTCATATCTACTTGTTAAGAAGATGGACCAGATGTTCTGTAAACTGTTCTACTTTCTGGATTTGTTTTATTCCTTGAGATATCATTTAACTAGTTCCTTCAATCCTTGTTCTACCTTATGGATGTTTCTTAATTTTGATGAAAACTTTGTATGTAGTATAGTCTCAGAGTACCTACTAATTCCCAACCATTTTGGTTACTTTTGGTATAAAATAATTGATTTTATTTCAGTAGCAATATGTTATCATTGGATCCACATAGAGACTCTTAGCTTGATCTCAGTTTTAGCCTGATCTTGGTGCCAAGGTAACATTCAGGTATATGAAGCTTTTATGTATTTTTTTATCTCCTAGCCTAAGTTCCTTTAGGCAATAAGTTACACCTGTTTTCCCATAGACATTCTTTTATGTTGCTATATTAAATTAGGATGTATCTGTTTACACATTAAGAACAGAGACTGGACTACCTCTCATTCATTATAGTGTCCCTGGTGCTTTGCACAGTGCTTGACATGTGGAAATGCTTGAATGGATGGATGAATGAATGCTTTGGTTATATAAATTGCAGTGTGACAAATCTTTCAGTTACCATTTAATCAAATGTTTCTGTAGCGGTACCTTCTAGGTGGAGGTGACTCAAGCCATCATTTTTAATCTAGCTAATCGGGATGTCTAAACCTGCTAGAAAAAGATGCAGTCATTGAAGGCACTGTATTTGTTTTTGCTCCCCCCTCCCTTTTCCAGATTAATGTGAAGGTACAATTAGGTTACAATGTTTGCTTTTGTTAGGTAAAGTCCCAATTGTAGTTGAGTCTGGCTCCCACAAGGTATGCCATCTACCCTTACATTGTGCTCATTAGGTGAGGTCAGACCAATCCTCCTCCCTCCTCTCCTCTCTTCCCTCCTTTTTTTTTTTGGAGACAGAGTCTCTCACTCTGTTATCACCCAGGCTAGAGTGCCTTGGCCTCAGCCTAGCTCCTCAAATTCCTGGGTTTAAGCAATCCTCCCTCAGCTTCCTAAGTAGGTGTGACTGCCACAATGCCTGCTAATTTTTCCATTTTTATTTATTTATTTTTTAAAATGTTTTTATTTTTTTTTTTTATCTGAGATAGAGCCTCAAGCTATCGCCCTGAGTAGAGTGCCATGGCATCACAGCTCACAGCAACCTCCAACTCCTGGGTTCAAGTGATTCTCCTGCCTCTGCCTCCCAAGTAGCTGGGACTACAGGCGCCTGCCACAATGCCGTGCTATTTTTTGGTTGCATCCATCATTGTTGTTTGGCGGGCCTGGGCTGGATACACCAGCTCAGGTGTATGTAGCTGGCGCCTTAGCTGCTTGAGCCACAGGTGCCAAGCCAATTTTTCTATTTTTAGTAGAGATAGGGTCTTAATTCTTGCTCAAGTTGGTCTCGAACTCCTGGCCTCAACCAGTTCTCCTGCCTCCACCTCCCAAGAGTGCTGAGATTATAGGCATGAGTCACCACCTGTTTCTGCTTTTCTTACCTCCTGTTATAAGAGGGCAGTCTGGTTTAGGATATTTACACTTTGTGTAAACTAAATGAGCAGATGTGATAACTCTGACAAGCCAGCAGTCTGGTAAACAGTTGTTGAGAGGAGCCCCCAGGCACAGATGTTACTGTCAGATTTACATACTTGAATCATGCGTGACCATCTGTTTTCTTTACCTTGTTAGTCTTCATTAAACATCAGTGAAGATTAAGAGTGTGAGAATTCTACTCTGCCCTCTAGACCACTCAACAGACTTTTGCTTAGGATCTGTTTGAACTCTCTATGGGCTAATCTTGGTGACAAAATTGTGACTCTGGCAGCATCCTGATGCCAAGAGTAAGTGAGTACTTCAGGCCATGGAAGTGCTGGTTCTGCTGTGAACTTCCTAATGGGATCTTCTGGGACCTTGCCCAGTGGAGAGCATTCTCAAAGAATTGTACTTGGAGCAAGTGATGGTTCCATGAGTTCTGACTGCTTGTTCTGGCAGTATCCTGCTCCTATACCCTTCTGAAGCCATCTGAGGAAGAACTTGGGCTCCACTGTGAAGTTAGGGCAGAGACTTGCACAAGCAGAGTTGTGATTCTCATGTGAGAGAACGTGCTGTACAATGTGTTCCCTCTTCTCTTATAGATACCTGGTGACTTTCAGCCCCCTAATGGACACTCAGGATGACCCTCAAGCCATAATCATCTGGGACATCCTTACAGGGCACAAGAAGAGAGGTTTTCACTGTGAAAGCTCAGCCCATTGGCCTATATTTAAGTAAGTGGACCAGCACAATGACCTCCTTATGTGTAGCCTTTTGTT